CTGTTGGGGAATTATTGCTTATATTTCGTTGATTGCTTATATTAAATGAATTCATCTAAAAAAAAATATTTCAACAAATCCAACAATAAAGTTAAAAATTAATTTATAATTAAATTTAAATGTTGAAATAATCGAAGATATTATTTTAATGATACGAAAATAATAATAGTTAGAAATAAACAAAATACAAATAAACGGAACAAAGGAAAATAGTTTTTTCCGCCTATTTATGATTTATTTTTTAATATCAACATTGTAACTTATGAACAGTCATTACAGTTATAAGAAAATGATGCATTAATTTAGTTTAGAAAATTATTTTGTTTCATTTTATTTGCTCAAAATATAATACAGAATATTTGACCTATTTAATAAGAAAAAACATACAAGCAAAATTACTATCACTTTTACAATTAATTATATTTAGACCATTTAATTTAAGAACTATTTTATAGATTTTCTAAAATTATTATTTAATTAATGCAATAGAATGAATTACTACCGGGCGGAAAGACTTAGCTCAATCGTAGGGTTGTTCGGTCTGGATATTATTTTTATTCCCGGAACAAGGCACAACTGTTTAAGGCATTCCCGAGAATTCTCGATACTCGAGAAAATTATGAATAAAAAAAATACATTATTTTAGAACCAAATTATTTATTCTATATTATATTTTACATTGCACGAAATAAAAATATATTTATTAAATAGACACTTTTAAATACTATTTCTTAATTTTGTAACAAAACTTTCTTATATGGAAAATATCCTCTCACATTCCGTACTTGTTGGTTTTATGGAGAGTAGTGAATTATATAGAAGATCTAAATTGCAGTTCCAACAAATAATTATTTTTTATAATTTACATTCATCCCGTTTCGTAGGAGATTGAATAATTTGAATTTCCATTAAGTCTGCATTAAGTTCATCTCCCATATTTAAAATTCTCGGGTTTTTCGTCACATAAAACTTTATCGCAACAAGCAACAGTTTTATAATTGATAAAGCACATATTTTAGATATTTTTTAGTAACATTTTCAAGTTTTATATGTGTATTTATATTAAGTATATATATATATTTAATTTATTTCTTCTTGTTGGAATTTTCTTTTTATTTAACTTTATACAAAATTCTAAATAATAAGAAAATAAAATCTCACAAAACTAATCTTAAAAACTTCTCTAATATTAGTTAAAACTATAATAAAATCATATTTACTCCATGGAAAATTTGCAAAAATAGACAATATTCTCTGATTTTCTAAGTGCACAAAAAAGTCACAGTACCAGACGATTTTTTTTTTGTTTTTGCAAAATGTCCTCCTAATGGTTTTAATAAACTTTATTAATATTATAAATTTTACATAGCTTAAATATTAGCGGAGACAGGTATGGGTTTTAGCATTCAGAGGTTTGATACAAAAAATAGAAATAATAGTATGATAAAAATGCAAGATGAGACAAAATAAAATAAAAACACAACAGAACAGATACAACATGATTGAGCAGCAAAACATATAGACAAGGTCTGTAGTTTAGGTCTACACAATATTCAAAAGAGTTAATTTTTCTTGATTAAATTTTATTTTATGTACTAAAAATAGAAAATTTTATAGTTAAGCTATAAAACTGAGATATTAGGTAGACTATTGCGCAGAAAGATATATGGTCAATAGCCCTTTGCATCAGTTTAATTTAATTTTTGTTATTACATTATTGTATTGAATTTGTATTTATTGTAATTTATTGTTTCAATAAATATTAGGCAGACTAAATCCGACGTTTATAATGATATTAAAATATATTTATTAGTAGGAATTAGACAGAAATAATTTATTATGGCCAATAAAAATTCACTTAATAAATATAATATATTTTAGCATGCTGGAAAGACCTCAGTCGATATCCATTCTGCTATAATTGCTATCAATCAAAAAAATATATTTTATTTCAACATAAAATATTTCAATAAAATTTTAGAATATTGGTAGATTTAATCAGTTCGAACTCCAGCTCCAAGCAAGAAACACCATCTTTTTTTTGCTAAAATGAAATATATCAGTCGGAAGAATGTAGAAAAGAGCTTCCTCGTTATAATCGATAATTTTACACCTGAAATGAGCATACGCGATTTGGATATATTCACCAATATTGGTGATATAAAATCGATGGAAATCTGTTGGAAATTAGAACACGGAATCAGAAGAGTTATTATAAGCTACGTTAATGCACACAATGCAGTTCTGGCGATGCAAAGGTACAACGGTTACATATTAAACGATTTGCCCCTGAATGTGCGTCTAACAAATAATGGTGTAAAGTCACAGGATAAACGTAGCAATTTACACTGTTCGATGAAAAAATCAGATAATAAGGTGTTACTGAAGATGGCACTGCTCAGCAGAACAATTAGAACTCTGAGTTTTAGAAGTATGGATTTGTACTAATTTTATTTGTATACAGGCTGAACTAAACAAAATCGTAAGTAAATATTATTATACTCATTGTATGGTTTTACTAAATACTTTATAACTGCGTACTTACAAAATAATTAATTTTTGTCGCAGTTATATTTTATTTATTTTAAAAATCCAAAAAAATATGAAAATTTATTAAACTTTTAAACTATTCAACTTTAAATTTTCTTTATTAATTTATATTGAATTTTAATACTGTTAATTTACCATTAAAATATATGTGTTCAATAATTAACATTTGCACTATTGATTTGAAAAAAAAAACTCAATACAATAAATAAAAATAAGATAAATTATAGAGTGTTCTATATTGAAGATAGTAAATAAAATTTTGTTGTTATGAATTCAACATTCTTAGTTGTTCATTTCGTACACAAAGCCACGTATATAAAATAATGAAGAAAATATTTACGAAAATTTAACTTCAATTTATCTGTTCGGAGCATATTAGTGGTAATCAATCCGCCCATTAGTGGGCGATTCAAGAGCTTTTATGGTGGGCGGTAGTGGTTTGTTTCGTGTGTTTGATATGAAATATTTAGATTCGCAGCATCAGCTTTAAGTATCTCATTAATAATTAATTAAACGTAATTTCAATAGACTTTATACTATTATAGTTTTTATATTTAATTTTCCTTTTTTGTGTTAATTTAAGCAGCCGCACCAGCAAGCGCTGTATCGAAGGAGATGCAGCATCAAATTTAATTTACTGTGTGTTATAAACATACACAAAGTACAATTTAACTACGTATTTTTTTTTACTAAAACCACCACTCAAAAATTGCGAATACTTTGCATTTACGTTAAATTAACACGTTGACTGCCATGATACTTTTATCCAATCTGTCACGAGAAGCCAGACTCTTGCATGGAAGATTGGTTTAAAAATTATTACAAACAATAAAAATATTCTTTTGCCTCTTGATTTTAAATGTATTTTATATGACTATATTTTTTGTTCATGTAAGCCAACCTTGAATTTTTGTTCTTCTTGAGGGTATCTATTTATATTTATACTACAAATTTCATTGTAGCTGCATAAATGTAACAAGTAAAGAAATTACGACTTAACTTGTAGTTGGCGTTCTAGACAATAACGTAAACTACAAGTTATTGGTGGTATTCGACGTGTTAAGTTACTGGCGGTGGGCGGTTAAAAAATGTTACTACTAACAAGTATATGAAAGTGGGCGCTAGGTAATAATTAATTGACTAACACTGATATAACTTGTAGATGGACATAACCTTGGCAAATTATGTTTGGAAACACAAATAGTTTTTGTTTAGTTAGATTTTTGTCTTATTTGAGAACTAATGTTCCACTGTACATAAATAATTAGGTACTACTTCATTTTCAAAACAATGTTACTGAAAATTTTTATATTACATACACTCTCCGTTACAAAATTAGGGTCAAATTTCATAAAAAAAATATGCAAAGAGATATATAGCGTGTATTTTCACTAAAGGGTGTCCAGTACAGTACAGTGTTGGAAACCCAAAAAAAACAATTTGACACTCTACGGCAAATTCAAATCTTGCGTTAATTTTGGGACACCCTTTATAACATATAATGGAAAACATTTGAAAATTAACACTTATAAGTAACATTCAAAAAATTAATAACTATAAACGGTCAATTGCTAACATTGTTCCCTGCAAACGCAGTTTATCCTTCCTCATGTCAGCAAACTTGTAATCGTTGCTTCCTTTATCAAACTGGGTCAATTCCACATTATATTCATTCTGCATTATAATAACCCTGTCCAGTTTTTCGCGGTTATTTTGTCCCATGCTTTATACACGGTCGCAATGAATTCGTCGTTACTATTTGTGTTGTAATGTTTGAATGACGTCAAAGAAACCCAAATCGATGACATTGAAATCGGGGTTGACTAATAGTTCATCATTTTCATTACCAGCGCGAACAACTTCCTCATCAACACTGCAATGTGGTTTAGCATTATCTTGTTGGATTTGGATTGGCATGGTTCTATAGCGGGTAAAAAAACAAACTAACAATTGTTATAAAATTTTACCTGTTTGCTACAAAAACTATTTTGACAAATTTTAAACTTCAGGCGGCTACTGGAGTCACTTTTCCATGCTTAATTTAAGTATGTAAGTACTGATACATTTAATTTCATAATTTCAATAATCCATTAACAAACTAAAATCGGACACTTATTTTGTAACGGAGGGAGTTATTATTATATTTGGTATATTTATGATTTTTTTCTTTCTATTTTCAGAAATCAAAATTCGTATTATGTAAAAAGTATTGAGTTGGAAGCATTGCTAAATTATTTTGCTTTTGTGATTATTTTCGTTTCTTTGATGAAAAGTTAAGTAGCATGCATTAGTTTTCTATAAAGAATTCTAATATTTTAAAAGAAATTCTTTATTTAAAAAAATGTTGTAATTTACTTGTTCCTTTTATATACACTTGTAATTTATTCATCTTTGGATCTTATCTGTTTCTATCCTAATCATTAGTGATATTGATTATTAATACATTTATGTTTCTTCCAATATTTATTTTAAATATAATTACAAAAATATAATATTTCGCTAACATAGGGACCTATACAGATATATTCATTGATAATATTACGATTAATCACAAAATGCAAAAAAAGAAGTTGTTAGTAAATTCTAGAAAATATATCAATCTTTGGGTAAAGCGCTGTCGCTTTTTCCTCTCGCATATAATTTGATGTTGCTGGATCTGGTACCCAACATCCTTTCAAGAAGGGAATGTTTGGATTTCCTCCGAGCGGCGAGGACGGCCTTGCAGAGGTCATGGAAAACGGTGGCAACGGGACCAACCTGCTCCGCAGCAGCAACCTCCGAAAAACAGCAGTCGCAATCCCTAGCGAGAATCGTTCCTTCCTCAGCACTGATCTGCCTGAGATGCACCATGTCGTTTTTGTTAGCAACAAGATACAACGGCCTATCACAATTCGACAATGACAATCCTATTTTCTTAACGTAAGAGAAAGACTGTCGATCAGTTATGGAATATACTAGAAGGACGCCATCCGCCCAATGCAAAGTTTCTGAAGATGGAAAATCGGCCGCTCCCTACAACAAAGTAGAACATAGTTAAATGAATATATTTTCACACAAAATTTATCAATTATTATTAGCAATCAATGAAAATTAAATTTCCTCATATTCAGCACAAATTTTAAAGATTTTTAAATAACTAGAGATTAAACTCTATTTTATGTATATGTATTATATAATGTAAACTTTCAAGGTGCCAGGAACGTAGGAATGTTCGCTTGGTACACTTCCATAGTATTTTTTTTTAATAAAGCCATAATGTTTAATAATAATGACAATAAAATATACATTCAAGAATTAAACATGTATTCCTGTTATTTTTATTTCCTTTTAACAAAATACCAATTATATTAGATCATCGCATACTACATCTAAGTGGTCAATAATTGACTTTACTGATAAACATTATAGGCAACCATACATACATCATGCTATTATAATAGTCTAGCATTAAAATATTCACCAAAATTTCCGTAACTAAATTCAGTTTACAACTTTATATAATCAATTTGTTTCCTTTAATATTATTACAATTATTTACATTGATATTATTGAACAACGTCCAAATGTATTATTAGTTGTAATGAATGTCCTTGATTTGTACACATGTTACGTCTCTTATGGATATTTTTGCAATTATATTTGAACACGTTCGCATGTGGTTCGGATAAACCTAGTTGAGATTGTAAGATGTTTTTTGTCTTCTATATAATCTTTCCTTTCACCTTGTAAAACGTTAATTAAAAAATATGTTAAATATATTGTTTATAACTAATATTCAATGATATTAATTTATGACTGTATTAATTAATTCTACAAAACACTAATGGTCCTTGTTTGTGACTGTGAGTTTTATAATAATCTGTTTTGATTCCTCGCATTCCAATATTATTAGTAGTAATATAAGTTAGACCTTGTTAATATCTCTATAACATGTATTAAATTATATAACTCATTCGATAATAATACATTAATATTTATAATTAGCTCATTATAAAATATGAATTATTTTTTTACATAAATAATAGTAACAATAATACACATATAAAAATACGCAAAATATGAGATGATTCATGTAGATTTATAAATTGTATGTTGTATTTATTCTTATTGATTATTTTAATTTATCTTGAGGTAATTAATTATTCTTACAGATATTTATCATTTTCAAGTTTAAATATTCAGAAAATCTGGAGCTCAGAACTCAGAACTAAAGGCAAGTAACATTTGTAATGGTATAACGAACATAGTGAATTTTCTATTATAAAGGAATTACAATGACTAGCATAGTACGGGTAATCGGTTCCGCACAGTTTGAAACCAAAGTAATCCATTACTTTAAAACCGCTTAAAAATAAACAGCACACAAAATAATTGACTTTATATAATAATTTGTGTCTAATAAATATTTGATGAACTATTCTTTAGATTTCATTTTTATTTTTCTGAACTAAAATTTAGTTTGTTTTGAAATTTTCAAACCGAACAATAGTGAACCCGCACTATGAGAGGTAATACTATGTCTGTAAATTGTATCCCGAATATATAAAAGAAGTTGTTTTACATTTTGTTGTTTCTGTTAAAAACTGTTGTTTCTCATAAATAAAGTAAATTAATATATCAGGTGGACAAAAATACTTATGGTCAACAGTATTTGGTAATAATTAATTATTTTTCTATGTCAATATATAATTATTATTCTATATTAGTTAGGTGGCAGTAAGAGTTTACTTGCATACAGAAATGTGAAAGAAATATTAATACATTTTATATTTTTGCCTAAATGTTTATCAATTATTAAAATATTCTAAAACTAATATAAACAAAAGAATGTCTATTATTTTTGATAAGTAGTAAAAACAAATATTTACTAATCATTTGAAGGCCTCATTCATGTTTACAAATCAATGTTAACATTGAAATTATAAAATAAGTAAAAGTTTAAATATAAGATAAGAAAACATTACTGATGTAAAAGGTTACTGCCACATAAAATACTTTAATTACTAACTAAAATGATGTTACGTTATAATTTTTATAATTATTTAACATTTGCAAAATATTTTTTTGTTCTTATATGATAACATTACAGAAGTAATTCACATAGTCCGCCTTCGATCAGTCCGGTTTGAAAATGTTAAAACAAACTAAATTTTAAATGAGAAAATTCTAAAAAAATAGAACTTATAAATATTTTATTTCTTTGTGCTATAATAGACGCATATATAAGTGATTTTAAACTATTACGATCAGATGTTAGAATTTTGGAGTGTAAATGCTGAAAATGGTTTAATACCAATAAGTTGTAGTTTATTAACATTGAGTTTGTTTTTGTCAAGTTTAGAGCCAATTTTTGTTAATAAGTAGTAATTTTATGATAAAAGCAAACAGTGAAAAAAATAAAATATTTTAAAAAGTTTGTTTTCCTAAGAATTATTAATTCTCTACAACATTGTTGTTATGGTTTTAATGGTACTGCGTATCATTGCGTATGAAAAAACTCTAATTTATTAAATTAAATGGCAATCAAGTTGCTATAGTCATCAAATACGTGGATTTCACTCAGAAACTAAATCAGAACAGCTCTAGGAAATGGAGAAATTTACCAGAGACCATTATTAGTTAGCGAATAGCAAAGGGCGCCGGATATCACCTAACTAATGGTGAACTATTATTTACGTCAGGCCATATCTCCTCGTTCCGAGCAAAACTATTTCAAGGAAGACGTTTCAATAAGAATATAGTGCAGAACTTATACAGTTCAACTCCGTCCGGATAACAAAGTGTCATATTTTTTTGTAACATACATTTCCAAAGATTTAGAGTCTCATTTACACAGACCATAAAATAAAAGTCAAATTTAAAGACAACGCCATCAGCGCTCTGTAAATTATCACGGTAATATATAATATTTGAAAAGAAAATTAAATTATTACCATGAATCTATGAATGGACCAGAGATGATTTTCCTTCTACACTTCTCTGTTGACTTAATTTTAACGCGGATGGAGTGAGCATAAATTGCAGATGGTCCAGCTCTCTCGTGCACGCATCAACGAGGATGCAGTGTGTCTGTAGACAGAATTTATTAGCTGTTGCATTCGAGCCGCGAGAACTTTATTTACTTATTTAAGTATAAAAATTATTTATGATTTCGGGATTTGTTTACCGGCAAAGTCGAGCGCGCGAAAATAAATCTATTTTGCACATATTGGATCGATTCCAAAAACAACAACATATTTACACGGGCCGTGTTCAATTATTTTAATTAAAACGTTCACAGCTGAATTGGAGACGGTTGTAGAGCCACGGAGGCTCGCACTCCATCCATAAAATATGTCATTCAGAAATATATTTTTGAACGTAAACAAACATTTTAATACTCGCATTTGGAATTTAAAGAAAAACAGTCGTGATCGGTACTGGTTTTTAAGAACAAGTATTATTATTCTTTCACTGACCACTAAAGCATTATAAACCGTAAAAACTTATTTTCATTTTAACAATCTTAAAATGTTTCAGAAAGTAAACCATACAATTATTTCTTACTTTTTTTGCTATATACTTGCAAAATATCGAACTGTTAATTGTTTTGTCAAAGAATATTTTATTAGACTACTCCTGAATATTATAGCAATCCATTGTAAAGAATTAAATAAATTAAATATATTTAAAATGATAAAAAACATAATGTATTTGAACTTATTATGAAACACAAACTAGTCATATTACTTTAATTATATATGTGCAGAAATGCAATAAGAAAACTATTCTGTTAAATATTGCATTAGATCCATAACTAAATATTCTTAGAAAGCGCCATTATTATAAATTAACTTAATTTTGTTATTATTGATATTTTGTAAATTTATAGCAAATATTGTATTAAAGATATGAGTTATTAAGGACTATTGTTTCGTTTATGAATATATCCTTGTATAATAATAGTTTCTATACATTTAACTTATTTATAAACTATCTAGAATTTATGAAACATTGATAAAATTAATGGAAATTCATGTTTGAACTGATTTCATTTTTATTATTACTATATCACTGTAATATAACTGTTACAAATAATAAATATTAAGGAACAATCAAAACAACGAATATTTTTTTGAACTAACAGAATAAATGTATATAGTTTATTCACCATTATTTTTATCTACTTTTATTCAGGTTCATTTATTAAAATTGTTGATAAATCTAGCTGTCTCATTTAGAATTTTCAATATTTTATAAACTGCAGTCAAAGGAACTCTCTTCGCGGTAAATAATCACCCAGCGGTACCAACCAGTGTTAGCCGAGGGTATTTGGGATAGCCCAGGGCTACCAAAGTTAATGGTCTGTCCCAGTATAAAGTGGTGAATTATAAATGAATTTGATTAGTAATTTCTTGCTTCAATATTAATTTATATTTTTATGTATCTAATATCTATTTGGGAGAATGGAAATGGGAGAGAATAATATAAGAGATTATCATGACATATTATGCTGTTTTTTTTACTATTTTTCATAATAAATAGATTTTTTTTTATTTTATAGGAAAAAGTAACTAATGGAGTTTTTTGGTATTATGTGTGAAAACAACAACTCTAATGACCACCTTTTTCCTCCTCACAAATACCGCTATCATCCTGTAAGAACCGCGATTATCTTCGACCGCTGGACATATAGAAATCAAGCATTGTCTCATACAGGACCTAGCTGATCCTTTCTGACTGACTTTCCTCATTTTCATTAAATAGAGGTCAATAATTTTGCAATTGATTACATCAGCATCAATTCTCTGGGATTTTCAGTACTTCAAAATTCTAATTAGTTTTACTCACGTAGCTATTTTAATCTCCAACAGTATAACTTCTATAAAAAGATTGAAAATGGACAAGTTATGACTTTTTCAAACCAGTCAGTCTATTAATGGAATTTCTGAAATGTAAAGACAATTATTAATGTCTATATTATTTATTTCTTGTTATTGAATAACTTTGAATTGAGCAAAAAAAATTGATTCTAAAAAAATAGTACAAGTTCTTTTTTTGTGTGAATTATTTTTGAATGGAACTAAATCCTCGAGTAGTCCATGTTCAAACAGTCTGAAATATTGGTGGAACCGATTACACACATTAAAATAGATATAGAATTATCGCATATATATCTAAAATAATGAAAATTATATAAATTGATTTTTTTAATTAATTTATAAATTATCTTATATGAGAAGGGTTATCAAATCGATTATAATATACGAAAAGCGAAAGTGACTGCTGACTTTCGGAGATTGGAATCCAATAAAATAATTGAAAACTGTCAGATTCAAGACGATATGAGATGGGTCAGAAAAGGGAGAATACAATGAATAGAGAAGGATAGGATTGACAGACTGAACAAGATCTCCATGGTAAACAAGCCGATAAACACCGGTCGAGTGACCGCCGATTCGAATCATGGACGTCTACATCCGAGAGAAGAATTTATGGCACATTGTAAAACGAGTACATACATATATATATATATATATATATATATATATTGCATAGAACAATACAAGTTGAATAAAAGAAAGATGAAATTCTCGAAATCATACGAGTGGCAGATTGTCATCGATCTTCGAGCTGCTCGTTCGGCATTGAATGAATACGAAATAAACACATTCGTGTTTGCAAATAATCCTTGATTTCTATATGTCAGGGACCTAAAGTTTGACTATAGTTTTAATATTTTTGCATACAAATTACCAATAATATTGATTTTAAATAGTTATGTCTTTTTTAATGTCAATACTACTTTTTTTAAATTTACCGAAGAACTATTATTAATTAGTGCATTTTACCTTCACTTATATTAACGTTGTAAAATATAACTAATTATATAATTGGTATAATTGAATAAGAAAATATAATTCACTAAGAACGTTTATTTCATGAAAATATGTCTATTTTCTGATTTTGAAGGTTTATTAATTTATTTTTTTATAATTAATAGCAACGCAATCAATGAAATTTTACAACAGTATTTAATGTAAGTTAACATAATTATACATAAATCATGGTTTCCTAAACTTTTTCTACAACGGAACATTTCGTAAATCATGAAATTTTCATGGAACAATCGGTGGCAATCGAAATTCTGACTGTATCTAGATCGTCGGGATTTTGATACCCGACTGTATTTTGATATAGTCGGGATTTTTAATGTCAGGAATTTTATTAACGGGATTTAGATATAGACACACAATAATAATATGGAATAGGCCAAATAAATCTTGATTTATTACAAGTTTTAAACTTTAATAAATTTATATTCTTTTAACAACTTAAATAAATAGTTAATCTAATTAGTTTATGCTCAGAACTACTATAGGTGTAACTTTGCGAAAACTCTAAGATGATAAATTTAAAAGAAGAGTTTGTTTAATGATTATATTATATAAATAATACATAAAGCTGAGATTAAGAACGGTTTTAGTAGCCAAAATTAACAAAATGATAAACACTTGAAAGAATTAAATTTTATGTTACCAGGTGTAACGAATTATTTAGATTACTTTGAATCATTTCTGGTCTGGTAAAACCCATGTTCTCTTATATAATGTAGAAAGGTATTTTAGAATTTGCAATAACCACGTAATTAAAGCAATTTCAAATAAATGAACTGCAAAAAAACACTCATGCACACATATACAGAAAGTAAATAAAATTTAATGTTTATATTCTTTTTATCGTAGATTGAATTACCTTCGGGCAGGTGTCCAAGATCTCGAAGAGGACAGGCTCGTTGTCGACCAGTACTTCGTGCTTGTATCTGGTTTCTGCAAATACACGAACGAAAATACCGATAAGAATGTTGCCGAAGATATGTGACGTGCAGACCATATATTACACGTTCTTAATTTTTTTTCTCTCATTCTCTCGGAAGCATTGTTGGTGAAATTATTTTCAGCCAGCTCGACCAGCGGTATACTTAAGATTACATTACGGCAGGCCGACAATATATATTTCGAAGTTTATTTACTTAAAACCGTTCGTATTACGACTACTTTTAAATATACACGAGTATTTACTTAATTGTCATTACCGTTGTTTTAATTTGGTTAATATTGTGCAATTTTAAATGTTAATAAATAGTAATAAAATAAGCAACATATATTATAATCATTTAGTAATAATAATAAAATTAGTTTGAATATAACAAGTAGATATTAATCAAATATTAAAATTAATTCAAAAACACTATGCATCTTTGGAAAGATCTGGAGAAAAATTGTTCTCTTAAAATATTTAGTCGGTGTTGTAGACTATTAGAATTTGTAGATCAAAATTGCTTTAAATTCAAGAAGACAAAGAAATTCGATTAAAATTAAAATCCATTTGCTTTTTTTGTTCGATTTGTCAGTGAAAGAGAAGGAATAAGTTATTACACTTAAAAAGTGTCTTGCCTTTGTACTTGATTTTAATGATTTTTCCATTATCTCAGTTCTGGATAAAGAAGAGGTTTACATCATCTGCGAAAAAGTAATAGACATTATTTTACCATTTTCCACAATATACATATGTGAACAACGGTGCTCCTTATATGCTCACTATCAAATATTGAAAAGTCTGGACAATGATTTGCATGTAGCTCTTTTAACATAGATTCAAATATAAAGGAAGTTGTGTTTACACAAACAAGCCCAAGTATAAGATTATATAAGAAGACTTATCTAAAATGAATTTCTAGTACTGAATTTGGAGAGAAAAGCTTAGCTCAGAAGAGTTAAGCATGATCTCTTCAATGCAGTATTAAGTAGAATAGATTAAGTACCGTTGAGTAAAAAGACCTAGTTTAATTGTATACTGTATGGAGTATGTAAGAAGTAGGAAATACAATGCCATTTTGAAACCCCAAACAATTTCTTCCATTCACTTGGTTCTTGGATCAAAAAAAATATTTGAAAGAAATATCTTATTAATTAAATCTCTATTATGGAATAGAAGAAATTAATCATGTTAAAAGAAAGATGTTTCTACATAGTATGTCGTGAGATTATTTATGCTTCTGAGATGTGCCGCGGCATGAAAAATCTTGTACTGATGTGAAGAAAAATGCATCGAAACAGCTAGAAATGAAATATTTTAGGATTTTTATTTTCATTAACAAATATATTAAAAACAAAAATATTTATTAAATACCATGAACATTTTAAAATACAATTTATATTACAAAAAATAAGAGCTTGAAAAGTTAATCCATTTTCATTTGTTACAGTTTATTATCAGTTTGTATTGTTTCTTCGGAAAACTATTTATTTAGTTAAATTATATCTAAACGCAGTTTTTGTACCAATTTGGTTTGTTGTAATTTATATATTTTTTTTAAATACTTCTTGTAATTGATATTTCTATTCAGATAATACGAATTAACTTTATTACTTAAGTCGGGTACATTAATGAGGTGTAAATACTTTAAAAGTTAAAATGAATCATCTATCTTATATTCTGCATTAATATTTTTTCCCAAGTCGTAAAGTTGTATCATGAAGTTCATATTCGGCGAAATGATGGGTCGTTTATCCTTAACGAAGGCATACGCATCTTCCATACTTTTCTGTAGATGTCTCATAACGTAAGCCACGACTACAGTAGGACTTCGACTGACACCAGCTTCACAGAACACCAGCACTCTAGCTCCATTCTTCCTTGTATTTTCTATAAAGTCATAAGAATCATCGAAATATCTTTGGAGGTTCTCATTTATGTTATCCAGGCATGGTAATTGCTTGTTAACGAATCCAAAAACTTCCGTAGATTTCGGAGTTACGTTTAGGATATGTGTGATCCCCAAATCTCTCAAATCGTCTACATCGGAAGAGTTATCCCTGTTCCCTAAATACAGATGAGGCAAGATCTTGGATATCGGTTGCGTCTCGACCAATTCATAACTCCTCAATGTTTTTCGAAATTCCATACGAGGTATTTCCAGAAACCGCGGCACTGACTTATTCATATTAATCAAATTTTTGATAAGAAAATGTTTGTTTTCATTAATTCAATATATAATATTAAAAGGAACAAGGATATATTATTAATTCGAGTGTATTCTATGAATGATCTCCAAGATTCAATAAAATCAACTCAAATTCTCTTTATTTTTTTTGTGGATCAAAATACATGTTTTCAATGATAAGGTTTTATTTATAGTTTATACTTCTTTAGTATTTTAAAAAGTAGAACATTTCATCAAAATATTGTGAGATTTTTCATTGAATGAAAGTTATAATAATATGTGTGTAACTTATGACTGCGAGATTCGAGAGAGAGAGAGAGAGAAAAACATAAAAAGAATCATAAAGAAAAAAATATTTGGAACTTCAGAAGAACGTGTTTTATAAACATAGGAATCAATGAATCAAAAATGTTTTTGAACGGTCTGCCAGAGAGCGATATTTTAGTAGTAAATCGAAAATAAAGCGAAATTAATACCAAAGCCAAAACCTCTCTTGCAAAATAAATCATTAATGTAAATTAAACTAAGTAAAGTAAATTAAATTAATCGAAAGTTAATTAACTGCATAGAAATGTTAGTTATTAAAATTAAATTCTGCTCGATCAATGGATTAAGAGAGGAATTAATTAGTCGCTTAATTGTTTAGGCTGTAATTAATCTCACCTGATTGATGATCATATTCCCCGATGTACCTTCGTGTCAAGAATCTCACGGATAAAGCTGAAATTAACATAATGCAACGTCAATAAATTAATCTCAGCATTGTGTGGCGTTTTGAAGCGGAGATAGCGGACATGGAAATAGCTCCAATTCACATCTGGCATTTCAGTAACGATTGTCTATGACGGCGATATGCAAAATACTGTGAATATTTGGATGGTGAGTTGGCCCGTTTCTGGGACCGAAGAAAAGTATGTAATTCGTAAATAAATTGCGGCAGATGTGAAATGGCCCGAAAAGGCACGTCGACATTTTCAATTTGCAAATAAAACTCTAATGCACTGTAAAATTAATTCCCAGGCAAACGTTCAAGTAAATATATAGAGAAATACATTATAAATTCTATTAAAGGTAGATAGACTTGAAGATTATTAAATACTACAATATTATCTAATTATATATAGTTTAACATGTGTTTATAATGAATTAAATATAAAAAAATAAAGAAAATTATGCGAGATTTGCATTATTATTATAAATGTACATATTTTTAAAGTAAACTGGAAGATTAAAAATTATAATTATTGAATATAATCGAATACAATTGAAGTTTGCAGCATCTTTTAAAAGTACAAAAATATTATGTACTTAAGTTTATTATAAAAATATTATATTCTAGTGCGGAAAAAGCTATTGTTCCATATGGTTTATATTAAAAAATACTGCTTTTTGTTGTAATATAAATATAATAACTAAACATGTCATAATTTACGTTTAATTAGGAAAATATTTTATAATGATATAATTAATATACATTCATTTTAAATCAGTATGTCTCTGCATTGAAAAATAATGTAAATATGTACTAAAAATCATATGCCAGATGCAGTAGCGCATCATGACTTTGTGAGACTCTAGGCGCAACCTGATTTGGAGGTCCCCTATTGACTCTAATAAGAAAATCATAACCTTTTTTTTTTGGCGATTTGGAGGCCCTTAATTTAAGAGGCGCGATAACTGCACCTGTTCGGTAACGTGCCACTGGCCAGATGTATTTTTTAGTTATGATTAATAATTGTTTGTTTATTTGTTCGTATACAGTTGTTTCTTTATTTTTTTAAGGTATACAGTTTTTTGAAGTTCTGTTTATTTTTGAGAAAATCCCAACAGTATCAAAATCCCGAACATTCTTTATCAATGCGCCATATTTATTTCTATTCACAAATTTTCATTTTTGCAAATCTTGATGAGTATAAGAGTTAATTAACTAGATAGTTTAAATTTAGTGTAGGTATAAAACACGGTTTCTATAAAAAAACAGGTTTTACAACGCTCATTTATTAAATTCATTTGTTTTACGTCTGTATTAAATAATTAAAAATCCTGTCGAGAATTTAGTTGTCGGGATTTTGATTTTTAATGTTGATTTTTGTGAACTTGTAGATTATATTATTTCCTATTTTTGTGTTATGATTGTATAAATGTGTAAATATTTATTAAATTTTAAATATAATATAATTACAAGCTTTTCTTACACAATGAGTAGAATTTTTACTTGACTAACACGAACATTTCATATGTTCTATTTGTATTGACCACTTTCTGCCCTTTATTTTCTATTTATTTAGTTTCAGTATATTCGGCTTAATCGGGACAAATCCTAAAGAACGGAAACAAAACCAAGCAAGTTGCTTAATCGGGACAAATATACTAGTCGGCTGTATTTAAAGAGACATATTTTTAAATAATTCTTTCTTGAAATTACAAGTTTTTGTTTTGTCTTATTATATTTTCAAAAGTTCTAATAGAACTATAATTTTTATGTTGTTAAATGTAGCTAATAAATATATTTGAATTTTACTGCGTTTAAAACTTAATAATGTACATACTTTTTTGAAAACATTTAAAATTAATTAAAATTTCACAGGCAATATAACATTAGTATGAAAATCAATTAAATACATATACTTATAATGTATAATATGTAGCATTTGTGAATATGTGAATATTGTTACTTATAAATTATTTGTAATATTAATATAATGGTTTTCATTAAATCTAGACTAATTCATAATTCTCTTATCCTTCTGATAGATTAGGGGCTTCAAATCGTTCACTTTTGTTTTTCTTGGTATTATGACTCTTGTAAAATCATATTTGTCATCTGTACAATATCCACCAAATTATTGTACCTCAATTTCTTATGGATTTATACGTAGCACATACTATTTCGCGTGACACACTATAATTAAGTGGCCATGGTAAGTATATACACGGCATCTTCGTCTATTTCATCAACTCCATCAATTGATTTCATAATCATTCGAGTTCTTGTCTCTGGTACTTTTGCCACATCTATGTAAACAATTATCATTGTTTAAAGTTATAGATAGTTTTTGAAAAGTACAGGTATACCATTATATTAATGAAATATTAAAAATAAATGCCAATTATTATTTTTTTTTTGATTTGTTACTGTCCTAGATTATACTAGATTTTAAACATTAATCTCATACTTTTCAAACATCAACATAAACATGTCTCCATCAATTCTCCATTCAATCATAGATACAAAATCTCTAGTATATGTGTTAAGATGTTTATTTTCATAAGAAGTTGAGAACAACGTAATTAAACAAAAAAAGGCATTGGAACTGCATGAAAAACTTAAGGTTCAACAATAAATAAATATTTTCATTTAATATTTGCATTACTAAATTTGTAAAATAATACCTGCAGTTTTAATTCCATGCATACCACATAGATAGCAGAATTTACACCAGATTATTTTCAAAAACAATTAGTTGTAAGAACAGACTCTATAGAATTGGACAAAATATAATAAAACATATTGACATTGTAAGTTGAAAAATTGTATTTTTTGATATTGAATATAATACAAAACATTTCATATGTTTAAATAATTATTTCTTGTGATTACAATTTAATTTTGAAGATTTTTCTTGTTTTTGTTTTTAAAGAGACTAATTTCTTGGTGTAACAATACATGAAAAACTAAATTAAATTATGAATACTTAAGAGGTAAATTTCTTAACACTGTAGCAAATGAAATAAAAGCGATTATTTAAAAACATATCTCTCACTATATGCGTATTTCGGTATGCGGTTTTATTATGTCAGAACGTTTGTCCGAGAATAATAAAGGAATCGGTATGAAATTGGGCTTTAAAAATAAATCTCGAGTTCCAATTATAAAGGGAAATATTTCGGTTTTATCTTCGCGTGAAGTGGAACAATCTAAGTTATTGTTGCTGGCGAAACGTGAGTATTTCTGAGGCTGGTCATGATTCCTAGAAGTAAATATAAACACACTCGACCGTCTGGATGAAAATGGCTCCAGATGAACAAGGTTACCGGCTGGCATATATCTTAATAATGGACCATCAGAAGTGACCTATATCGTCCTGGGCCTAACTAGTGCAAGCAAACAAAATATATTTATATGTGGTGTTGTGCTTTAATTTGCGCCGCTCTCGAGTTTCGCATTCTGTCGTCCCTCATCTAATTACATTTTCAACTTTGTTTTTTTTTTCAATCGCGTACAACGTTTATTTTTTAGTCTTCTTTCTCTTTAAATTTAAACAACACCACTCACACTACATTCGAAACGGGAACACGGCGTGTCAGCATCAATGCGCCTCAACTTGATTGACGTTCGAAATCACTCGATGCGATATAATAAACCCGGTTCGGGGGCTTCCCCAGAATTGATTGACTCGATAGATCGTTAATTATAAAATTTAAAGTACATATTTAGCTGATTGATTCAATTATATCCATAGGCGCAACTCAAATAAAACCTGTGTTTTAATTATGTTAAAATTGACATTTCGCTATGCGTGTACGTTTATTGCTTAGATTAAAGTCATTTCGCTGTGCGTTTTTTTTTTCTCTGCTTTATTGCATTTTGCGGATTCGAAAGTAAAGAGTCGGAATGATGTGTGCGTCACGAATGAGCCAATTTCTATTACTTTTCCATCGATTTGCGTTAGACGCAGAACAAATGTATTATATATGCTTCGATCATTTGTCTTTTTCTTTATCTATCTCTCTCGTTCTTATATAAGAGCGTAATTACGAATCTGACTTGAATGTGAGAATAAGTCAAGAGGGTTGATGGACTACTTCTTATTTTAGATAGTTATAGTATGTATTAGTCAAAGTATATTTAGACATTTTCGGAGGCCTTGCTTCGAAGTCTTCCAATTTTTTTTCGTGTAATTACGCTTCGCTTCCTTAATTAATTTACGTTTGTCAGCGTAGGTCATTAACCACAAGAATTTCGTATTTATTTTCGTTTTGATTTTCAGCCAGATTTTTGTTTATATTATAATAATACATTGTATCAAACGATTTTAAACTATTTTTACGGACTAGAAGACAAATTATTATTCAATAGCTTCATACATATTAATGTTATTTTATTTAAAATAAAGATTAATCCTTAATTAATATACCATTATCATTAACAAGGAATTTTGTATTTTTTTTCGGTTCGTTATTCGATATAAATAATACAATATATTAACTAACAACACTACATAATATTATAGCAAGCAGTGGCGAAACCCTGACGAAATCTGCAATGCGTGGGACTTAAATAAACATTTGTTTAGGACCCTCAAATTGTAAAACTAAATGTTACTAGTGGCCCACAACTTTCATCAATTCTTATAATTGTTGATGGCCTGGTGCCATCAAATGTGTCTGAGTACCTTGCTAATTCAAAATTCCGGGTAATTTAAAGGTACGAATATTTCTTTGCAGCGGGGACAAAGATTTGAAGTTCCGCCACTGACGATAAATATCTACAAAGTATTGCAAGTATTTGTGTTCGAAATATTATACTCATAGATTTTACAAATTAAGAAAAAATATTACTAAATATTCCTATATTTGATTAATTTAAACAACATTACCTGATAATAATATTGAACAATTTATAATTTTATCATTTGTTAATATTAACGTCATAAATTGAAAAAAAAATGTTTGTGGTAACATACTAATTGCACATTAGGGATATACAAAAAGATCTATGAAACAATTGAGTTTTTTTTAATCATATTTTACAAGTTAAATAAATCGTTTAAATATATAGATAATATCAATTTTCCATTTGTCAATATTAACAAGAAAATATTCATGAAAATTTATTAAAAAAAAATGGAATTAATTTTATGCATCTATTAAATGTGTTGAAATTTCTTGTTGCTTGAATTTATCAATAAATATTATTTATGATCAATTTATGGACGGAAAAACTGTGGTCAATATGTAAATTTTATTTATTATTGTTAAATTTATTTAATTATAAACTAATTTACATACATGATAAACAAATGTAATTAGTTTATTTATATATATTTTCATAAAATATCTATAAATAAAAATATAAAGTTATATAATAATTAGAGCCTACAACAACGAAGCAATAAAAAAATTGAATAGTTGTGAATATGTCCGGTTTGAATATTTCAAAAGAAAATACTTCTATGTTTTTTGTATGTATTTGGTTCCTTTGTTAGTCCGGATTCAAACAGCTCGAGTTTAAATAGTATTAATGTATAATAATTCAAAGTTTTGGATATGTAAAATATTTCCATTTTTTAGTTCTACTTTAAATCTACATAGATTTAAAAATGTATTTTATTTGTGACAAATATATTTTGTCTTATTGATTCATATTGAAATGTACAATCTTTAAAACTAAATTAATATAGTATGTCTAATACTAGAATCAAACAATTTCAACAAGTTTTTTTGTTTTATAAACAAAATTATTAAGTGTATATAATAAAGTTAATCATTTTCATAAATATTTACCGCTCTTTCCAACACCTGGAGCACCGACCACGATAACTTTGACTTCAGACAATGATGACTTTTTCCTCCTAATCCCCTTGGTGTTCATGATGGACATGCTGTGCACACACTATAAAGTACAGGATGGAAGTCACATACAAATGTTGGTACAAAAAAATGGTTTAACACATGAACTAGAACCGTGTGTTTTCTGCGGATGAGATACACACAAATGTTGTGTAAGTTTTGTAGGGAAATAGCTCTCAACCACTCATAAATGTAGATGTCCTAAAAATAAACGCGCTTCGCGGTGTTATATAGATGCGCGATATACAAAGCGCCACTACACATCTTTAAAAACGTTCTTTAACTTGGGCGGTTTAACGCAAAAAAAAACGAGAGGAAGAAATGTTAAGGTCTTTAATTATAGCTCATACTGTGTATACCCAGATTCTTTTGTCTTGCGTTTCAAATGTTTGCTTAAATATAGTGAAAATAAAAAAGAGTGCTTGAAATATTTACATTTACTGGATTTAGCCAGAGAGGTCACTTGCTAATGATTTATGGTCAATGCAAAAATGTAGAAGATCGGTGAAATCTCCGTATAAATATTTTTGTATTTTTAGCCCGATCCAATGCCGAATATTTAAAAGACATAAACTTTACTACATAATTTTATCGTCGGCCGTAAAGTTTTTTTTGACACTTGTTATGTCGGTTTATATTTAGAAGACAATGGCTGCTTTACCATTTCGTAACCATAGAGACTTAATGCCAGTTGTCATTTCGATCAATCATAAGAACAGATGTCTCAAAATTCCTGTGCTTCAGGACTCACTTAATGACGAAGAAAGGCTCGCCGGATGAGATCGAGGATTCTGCAATATGGTCGAGCTTAGTGGGAAACATTGTCGCCGTCATCATGTCCGCCTACTTTTGGTTTCTGAGCAACGGAAAATGCCCAAAAAAATCTCCAAACTCATACGACACGAACAGCCTGAATAATGCTATCAATGATCTCAAGAAAATGGCCGAGGAAATACACAACTCAACATCCAAACCATACACCGATATCGAATCAACTGCGACAGAATGTATAGAATATACATAAACAAGATTGAATAAAACAAGTGTAAATAATTATTTTTCTATTTATAGGTACTTGCACAAACGAAAACAACTCCAAATCTCCGTCAGGTATTACTCGTAATTAGTGATACTAATTTATTATATTTTCAATAATTTAAGATAACGTGAGCCCGACGGAATCAAACAAAGAAGTATCTGAACCGGCCAAGGTCACCAAAGGATGCAGTTGTCAAACAAGTAAATCAATTTGAAACCGTAGAGCTGCAAACAAATATATTAATTTTTAGTCGAAAACATGGGATCCTTCAGAGCGAAATACACCACGGCACCATATCCAATCGCCAACTCTACCAAAAATCAAGAATATCGTCCCTATCATGAACCTTCTAGAGCTGTTAAGAAAAAGGTCAAGTCCAAAGCAAAGCGATCTAAACCGAAGCAAAAAAAGAACGCAGATTTACAAGAAATACCCTGTTACTTAAAATGTTTTGCAGAGGAGATGCAGAATAGAAATTGTGGAAACAAGAACTGTCCTGTTGCAGTTCACTATTGCACGAACAAGGAATGCAATGAAGATACAATACAGAAGGAAACCGCTACACCGCTCTATCAAGATGCTTCTTGTCCCAATGAAGATGTCCAAGCTGATAGTTCGGAGACATCGTCTATGAACTGTAGTTCATCGTGCAGTGTTCTCAAGAATACAAAACATCCGTGTTCTTATTACGTAAATGAACAATACAATGAGAGTACCCAAGTCACTCAAGTCACCGAAGTTACTGAAACGGTCGAAGAGACTCAGGAGATAAAAGAATTTGAGCAAGAGGAGAGTCAAACTGATCCATATTCGGTGACGCTTAGGAATTATTCGCAGACCGAGCAAGAGTATGATGAGCAGGAGGAAGCTTGTACCCCGTGCTATAGCAAGAGGCAATGCCAGGATATACCTTGCACTCCAAAATCGGGACCTTCTTACTATAATGGAAATGCTTATGCAGATCAAACCAGCAGGCCAAAACCAGCTACAATTCAGTATGCACCAAATTATTACATGGACCAACAACCAGTACAATCCCATCAAGGGTATACTCAGCAGCAAGGGTACAATCCGATGTATGCTACTAGTACTGATCGTGGTTATAGAACATTAGGTGTAGCACCAACAGCTGCTAACTATATGAAACGGATTCCTCAATGTGAGATGAATGATCAATATAAGGTAGTGTTATTTCTTTTCCTTTACGATATGCGTACATTATATTTAAATGCAAAATTTAAAATAGAAGACCTCATAATTTCCATACTAGTTATGTTTGAAGGACTTCATGAAATATTAGGAGAAAAAACAAAGATATCAGTCAATTATTAAAAATAACAATTTTGAAAATTAAACACTGTTAGCTCTTTTACAAAAATAATACATATATTTATTTCTACGATTGTTGAACACTTAACGTTTCACAATAGTTAATTGAAACTCATTAAGAATCACAATTATCCATCTGGTTATATCGAATTTCTCTTACCTGTATATCAGTCGCGTACGTTTTCTTTCTGTTAATTTTTTCACCGAATTTATATTTCGTGAAAATGATGTTTTAATTTAGAAATAATTGAAATTGTCAAATAAATAATTTGTAATAATATTCTTACTGATATTTATTTCAAATAATTAAGATAATTAATTACATACTATGTGTGTTTATAAAATTATATAATTTATGCTTATATAATTTTATAAACAGTTCATATAAATAGTTCAATAAAATCATGTAAGTCTTTTCAATCATGTTTATTATTTTTTATCTTATTATTTTTATGGTAACGTGATCACAATAAAGAGATTTCTTAGCCTTGGTAAGCGTATAACCATATCACGACTGGAATTATCATACATTCGTGTCGCTAATAAACATTTTCTTGTCGAATTACTAACATTATTATGGAAATATTGACAAGAATATTTCTTCTTGCGTCTGTATATTTCCGCGGCTCGGCACTAATAATTATGCATCAGTTGGCATTTAAAATAAAGAATCAATTAATTCTACATTTCTTGCGTATGCAAATGAAACTTAGTAAATTGTAGGAAAGTGTCTCTCTTTCTATACATTTTTTTCGGTATATGTTGTTTAATTTGCTTGCTTTACATTATTTTTTTATTTTTGTAGGTTGCTCGACAGCGTCAATTAGCAGTGCAAAAGTCAAACTTTCCACCAGATTATTACGGATCTGCGAATGCTAGGGCCGTACAGCCTGGAGCTTATATGAATCTAATGATCAATTCACCGTACAACGAGAAGACCATCAACAATCAGTCACTGAGCAGGAATGAGGCATACGCTGAGTCTTCTAATTCACATCCATTTCAAAGAACAAACTTTAGCAATTGTCCCACGACATGTCCAAATCGTAGACCGCTCGGCGGCCAGCAGCAGCCGTTGTCTTTGATGCCTAATGGTGCAATACCTATTAGGAGTTCGCAGAATACGTTGTCGGTGCAGAAATGCTCAAAATGAGGATGTTTGTAAAGAAAAACGTGGAAATAAAAACAAAGGAAACTGCATTGCACAATATAATTTAATTATTTTTTTTACCACATTCAAATTTGATATATAACATCTATATAATAAGTATGATCTCGTGCTTGAGTGCTTAATACGAATAATAGTCTAAATACAAAACTCAAATGTGTAAAATACAGAGTGCACACCGAATAATTTATATAATACAGATATATGCGCGAAAGTGGAAATAGTGTGCACAGGAAAATACAAACAGAATATCGCAGACAGACAGAGATAGTGCTACAATATAGTTTTACATACGTGAGATCACAACTACTTTGATCACTTGCCTAAACACTAAATAATAATAATAATAAAATTAATATATTACACGTAATGACGACTTTATACACAATATGATATGCCGATGAAGAAATCGATCGACTTTCAATGGGCGACACCAGTCACACAGCCACCCCTAAAAGTCTACAAATACCGACAAGAAGAAATAAATATAATGAGTAAATAATTAATACTAAATATCCCATTATAACATTATTTCAAGCTCTAGTTATTATTTTTGTTTTTTTTTGCTATGTTTTAGGTTTTTTTTTTGCTGTTGTTGCTTCGTTTATCTTATTGTTTTGTTAGAAGAAGATGTGTTAGATAATTTATTCGAGCGCCGGTGCCTTCATTTTGTTGACGGCATTCGATAAGTGTAATAATTCGGTGTTCAGCTGATTGACAAGTGATTCGAGCTTGTCGACGGTGTCCAACACCTCGACACGCTGAGTATGAGGATTGAACCTGACCTCGAATGGTCTGGACATGGTCGAGACCCAACGTCTGAATTTGTCCTTAGCATCCTCGAAGCTCTCTGCGACGTAGTAAACGGGTTGATACTCCTGATCCTGGTAGGGTTGGACAGCGGTAGAAGCCGGCTCGAACGGTCTCAACTCTGGTTTGTCACTAAGGGCGTGCAGAAGCTCTCCGTAAGCGCTCAGAAGTCCGGCACCGTAAGCCTTGACAGCGCCGTTTTCCTTGCACAGACCGAATTCAACGGTGAACCAATACACCTACAACCAAGAATCGATATTAATGTAGCGGATTTAATAAATGGACCATCTGGTTTTGTAATTGGAACGGCTTTTCTTTTGCCGATCACGCGTATCTAAAGAGCTTGACCCTGACACGGCGCGGCTCGATTTAAATGAAATTCAAATCGGATTCTGAAACAATCTTGGATGGAACTTACCGTCGATAATTTTTCAATTTCAGAATCTGAAGCGCCCAGGGAGGCCAATCCAATCTCCTGGGAGAACTGAGCGAAACTGGGGTCGGCGAGCAGTGGCATATGACCCAAAAGCTCGTGGATGGAATCCCTATTAAGAGATGATTAAATTGCAACTATATATTCTGCTTTTATATCGAATTGTGAAATTTAATTGAATAAATCGCTACAGTGTATGCGAGAGTGATGAAGCGAGCACTTAAAGCTCGAGTTAATGGCTTTCATAATTGAATTCAAATCGTTCCTTGATGCAATTTTAACACTTACGGCTCTGGGGTGTGGTATGGAGAGTTGATGTGACGAACATATTGTGTGCTTTGGAAGATACGGAAGGCGAGAGAAGCCAAGAAGTCACGAGATGTCAGCAATCCAGCTGCAGGTCTCAAGGTGAATCCGGTCTGCGATTGCAAAAATTTGGACATCTCATCGAGCTGAGGAATAGCCGTGGTGTTGAAGATGCCTTCATCTTCCAACTTACGGAAAACACGACGGTATTCGGCACAGGCATGTTTTGGCATTAAATCTCTCACGGTATTGAAAACAGCCGACCATGTCTTGTTCTCAGTCTCGGTGTAATCAATTAATGGAATTGCATCTCCGCTGTTATAAGTAAAATAGATTTATTAATATCATTGCAATTGGATTGCAGTAACAGAACTTACTATTTGTAAGCGAAAGCAACTTCGGCGATGTGCTTACGACGAGCGCGGTACTCCTTGTCGGCGAATCCCGGATGGTTCATGTCCAAATCGGGTTCGTACTTGGTCATCAGATGGTTGCAGTTGTCCAACTCGCTAGCGTGCCTTGGGAACCATGGGCTCTTGTTGGTGACGTTGTCTTCACCAACGAGAGAAGCGCTTGTCAAAGAAGCCGATTGCCTCAAATTCTTGATCAGCTGCAAGAGATGCTGACGTTGCATCTCGATCTTAATAAGAACATCCAATTGGTTCTTGTCCGTTTGCGACGGACGAGTTTCCAAGTGGCAAACGACTCCTGAGTACTTCTCGATGGTCTTCAAGACGCGCGAAAGAGAGGACATGCCCTCGCGTAAACGGAGCACCAGAGCGGCCTTCTGTACGATTTCCGGTCCTTCATTCAACGAGTTCTGCAGGATGATTTCCTCCTCAGTTAATCCAGCATCTGGTGAACAGTAGATTTCATATATAAATACATAAGGAAGAAAGAAATGACGTGGAGTGGATTTTATAAGTGCTGCATTATATATAGCAGTAATATTTTTACAGCTTAACTCTCTCTCAAATGGAGGGTGAAAATTGACTTTTGACACCGTAAAAGCCGTGCAGCTTTGTGAAGCGCTCTCCCGCAAGCTTTAAGCTCTCAGTGCAATTACACCCTGCCGGATATAAAATCCATTTTTTTTTTCGCTTCCTTCCTCGTTTTCTGCGTTCACCTAAGTGGTGCATAATTTTCTGGGCCAAGTTTAAGCGCATTCAAGCAATTATTATTATTACGTACTACACATATCTCAAAAAATTAAACATACCTTCGCCATCCTCTGTCTGCTTCGGGGTTGGTTTCTCATTAATTTCAACTTCTGGCTCAAGGCTGGAGTCTACAATTATCACAACATTGATCATGCAAAAGTATACAACAGCAAATAAATAAAAAAAAATCAACAGAAAATCGTGCAATAATATCAATTGAAATTAAAATTAATCGAAAAGAAAAAATAATAATATAGGCGTGCGGTAATTGCGAACCTACCATTAGCCCTAAGGCGAGCTTCGTCCAACACGGTTTGCTTTGTCTGGGTGACAACCATGGTCTCAAAACGAGCATCGTCCACAAGGGAGCGGCGTCTGGATGGATAACCGTTCTGAAACGAATTAAAACTTTAGTTGAGGCCATTGTCTGGAGCAGCAGGAAGCGCGGAGTCGCAAGGAAATTGGCTCGAAGTGCTGTTGTCTTTTATGCTAGGATTCAGAGAGGAAGTCGGTTCGATTTATTCATGTAGAATAAATGCGACGATGGTGTCTGCATCCTTTTTTACCTCCTCCTCCGCCCCCTAAACGAGAAGGTTGAGTCGCGTTTTATTTTTGACCCCTACGGGTCTTATGCATTCTATTATGACCATGATCCTACTATTTTAATAGAACAGATCCTATTAATATAATTGCATGCTAAACCAATCCATGCGATAAATATTCATTGCGTATATTTAATTCTTTTAATTCCCTCCTCTGTTCTCCATCTGATGTGGAAAAGATGGCTAAACTCCGCGGATTGCAAATGCATCAATAACCGCGATTCTCACTTTCATCAATTCTGGAATTATGTAAGTGATGCGTGTGTATGTGTTTAAAGTCAAGTAGCCAAGCACTGGATTATCGAGGCCAATCGGCAGCGCAAAATCCTCAACAATGGTAATTTTGTAATGCCAATAATTAAAATATCCTCGCTCGAACATAGGCATGGAATCCAACTGCAGATTAAGTCCGTTTCTTCTACCGATTCTACTATTTTTTTTGTATTATTTACTTCGACTTGTAGTGGGATTTCTTAATCTCGGCGGTGTTGCAAAATCGAGAAAGGTTCAGTTGTTTCTCGTTTTTATATAATAAATACTAATTAAGCTCATTCCAGGTGATACGTACTATTTGTTTCCCACTGCACTCGCCGTTATTATTCATTTGCACATGAACAGAGAGCAAATGTAAAACAAGTCTAAGTGCAACCAAGTGTCCTTACTCCATTTTATGAATAGATTTAAAAGTTTGACATTCCACAACGGTCAGTTCTTTTTTACTCTCCATCGCTCTCTCTATCTCACGCACTCTTCGAAAACATTCAGAGAATTATTTATAGTGGATTTATTTAAATTATTTGAGTAACTAACGGTAAAATATTTATCGATCTAAATATTTTCTAAATACCAAAATATCAACATCCATGTAACACGGATTGCTTAATTTATTTTATACATTAAACGATCATAAATCACATAAAAGTTTATCCCGTTTTTTTTAAGTATTTTTGAAACTTCTTCATTTTCTTATTATAAATACCAAATAAAATATCTTTCTAATCGATTATTTATGTTAATTTGTTATTAACAAAAATACTGGTTCAAAATAGTTGAATCATTAAATTGTTTAAAATTTTCTATTATTTTATAATATAAACGTGATGGACAGAAATTATAAAACTTTGTGTAATCGTATTTCGTATTTTGTTTGTTATTTCAATTGAATTAAAATAGTTATGAAATAGGTGGAGAAACCAGTAATTGTTGCTTACTTAGAAAACATGTCTTGGAGTTATGCTCGAATACAAAGATAATTAAACTCAAGTCCAAATACAACATCAGAATTCTGTTTTTGAAGGTTACAAACAATTTTCAACGACATTTCTAACCCTATTAAAGCATACAGAGACACGAAATGCATGTCGCATAAATCAGCAAAGACTATTTACGAAATCGGAGACTGAACGAAAAAAAGAGGCGAGTCCTTGACATACGAAATAGTTTCTTCTTCTCCGCATTTTTAAATAACACATATTGCGAATATTGATATTTGAATAGTGGATTTCATTGAAGAGGCCAAAAACTTTGTAATCATTATGTCCTTAACATTACGTTTTTTAATGATTTCTTGCCAAAACTATTAATTCATTCATTTAAATATATTCAAGTAACAATTTGTAATAATTATAAGTTGTTAAAACTTATATTTCTTATATATAAATAAATAATAATATAAATGTAAGTAATTGAACTATTCACAAATTGTTAAATTGAAAAAATAAAATTATATTAATATTTATATGATTTCTATTGTATTTAACTTAGGAAAATGAGAGTATTTATTCTTGTAATTTTATAGTTATATATTCAAATCTCAATAAAAAAATTAAGAATATTATTTAAGTAAAAAAATGACTTTGACATATTTGTTGCAATTTACATAGAAACTGAAGGGAACGCGGTTTTAAATAATAATACTAGCTATCATTTTACAATATAAATTATGAGTATTTTGTTAAAACATGTTGTAATCATTTTGCCTTTCTTGAGCTTTTTTTGTATTGTTCGTAATTAATTATATTTAAATCAGTATTTTGTTGTAAATATAATGTTAATAATGTTTAATAAAATAATTGATATTGTTTTTAATGGAGCTTTCTTGTGGGTTCTTGTGGATTGTGAGCGTTAAAGTCTCCGAATGACGTGTAATGGAAGTGAGCCTGTTGCATAGAGCAGCAGAAGTTGTTTGCGGATATTGTTTTGGATAATAGTAAGAAGCTTTTAAGACTTACCTCAATGCTGTAAGATTTTTTGATGGCGAACATTTCGCGGTTCTTTTGAGCTGCGGCGATTGCGGCCATGTCGTCTGATATTATATGAGTTAGACAAAAAAGAAATTGCAAAGGGTGTCAAACTCTCGTTGGATGATTTGAATCGAATTGGTTTGTTCGGTGTTGTTAATTTCAGCCTGAAATCACGGGATTCACTGCTGAAGAATTACGATTTTGTTGTTGGAATTTAGCAAAATCGAATTATACAGTCGCGTAATTATTGTTGTTCTTACGACCACGATTAGTGACTGATAACCGTCTGTCTATGAGAATGTGATAATAAAACACGCTGACTGTTTGAACGAGAGTTAGCAAACCAAGTGTGAGTGGTGATTGCTGACGGACGGCGGTTTAAGTAGTTGGAACCCCCACCGCCCCCGAGCGATGCCAGGATTCCCCCCACGGCGCGCGGCCCTTTCATTGTTGTTGGATATTACGCGTCACGCCTGCGTCACGGCTCCTGGATGCTGGGATCCCCGAATCAAGGTCCTCGAGGATATCCCCCGCGACCCGCCGACCAGTAGCAGCGGCCATTGCTGAATTGCTATCATTACACTCAACATAATCATCATCATTATAAAAACTGATCATCGACGTTTCTTACGTTCAGCCACGCGACACCGATTCTTTCGGGTTGGGACTTACCAAATTACCGCTTTTACTAGAACTACTTTATTGATCAACAACATTATTAACGATCGAAGTTCCGATTATTCTATTATTTTTTTCATTTTAAACAGTAAACAATAGTTTATCATATTAATTGCCCACATAATGCATCTATTTCCTCGCATTTATACAACTAATTTATAATCCGTCAACATCATTTTGATTCAAACAATTCAAGAATTTTTAAAATAAACAATTATTATTTCTTTATTGTTATAAATCACAAAATCGTTTGTTTTAATAGTTCTTTTATTTTTATCTTCATTTATATTCAAGACTTTTATAAACTCAAAAAAATCAGAAATACACTTGTTATTACAATTTGCATTGTACTTATTGCTATTTATTACGAATAATTTTAAAACAAGAAAATTATATATTAATAATAATAATTTATTGGCCAGACATTAATAGAAAAAAATACACTCTATAAATAAATAAATGATAATATAACAATTCTCAAAATAAATAAATAAATTCTAACAAAAATAAAAAAATATATATATTAATATGCTGGCGATAGGGCTATCGACCTAGGTATTTCCGCCGGGATCATATATTATATTTAACATTTATTAATAAATAAATTTGAAATATATACCTTTAATATTTATTTTTATTACATTTAAAACAATTACAAAATTATCTTCAATAGTTCTATTTATCTATTTATCCGAAGAATTTATTTAAAAAAAAACATAATTTATTTAGAAAAAATAACTTCTTCAAACATTTGGATTGATCTCCAACAGAATATTTATAAATAATACAGTAATATGTTTCATTTTTCATTTATTTTATGTTTTTTTTTAATTGCGAATGGTTTGTATATTTTATACACTTAATTATTTTTATTGTAATAAACCTCTTTAAGAACTTGTGTATTAAATTAAAGACCAATGACTTTTTGATGAAATTAATACGATTATTATTTGCAAAAACTTCAGTTAAGATAGTTTATAATTAAGCACTATTTTTTTATTATAAAATTAGTATATTTGATATAATTCTGAGTATAATCGTATTTTTTTCAATACAATAAATTTGTATTAGATAAACTTGTTATAACAATATTTAAAATTTAATTATGAAAGTCTCTCAACCTCAGGTTAATCGCTGATAGTAAATCCAGTTTTATTTTTTATCGATTATAGTGGAATAACCGTAACTATTAAAATAAACAAGAAAACCAAATTTCCTTACTATTATTTTGAAATCTATCGGTTTCTTATGATGTATCAACTATATTACTATAAAATTTGTTTTATTACATTTTAATGACTCAATTTTGTAAAATACTATAAAAGTGATTCATTAAATATAATTGTCATTCATTTCTTTAAATTTTATAATAGATACAAAAAATATAATCATCTAGCATCGAATATATGTAAATTTTGAATATTTAAAGTCAACTTTAAACAAATACTTTTAACTTTATATCAAAGAAAGAAATGGATGATTTAATGTTCTGCAGTTGATGGCATACTTCAAAATGTCGTGCGAATCATGAATCCGGACGTAATACAATTATAGTCGATCGTGAATATTGAAGGGTGTCGGCTATTCCTACCAGGTTCCATGAGCGGACACTTGCAAATCAATTATACGACGAACATCACGCTTTCATTTTAAAGACATATTATGTGACAATATTTAGATTTATATAATTGTAATATTATGTAACAATTAATTAATTTAATTACCAACTTACACTAAGTGAATAACAATGTGGTACATTATTCTATACTATTTAATATTATATGTGTTAATATATTGAAACTAAATTTAATATTGTTAATAATGCAAAAAACTAAATTTCCTATAAACCGCATCAGTAGTTAATATTTTTATTTATCTTACGCAATTACATTCTCTATTGCACAAAAAAAAGAAGTGGAGAGGGTTATAATACAGATTTTATTACCTTGTTGTACTCAAGTTCCCTTTTAGTTGTTTTTTTTTAAGTTAAATAATATATTTTTAAAGTAATTCATTTATCGAAATGATAATAAACAACACATTTAGTTTATGAATTAATCGAATTCAAATAATTAATTTTATTTGTTAGTCTCCCTTCTAAATTAACATTTATTTCCAGTTTAAAACACTGTTATTAGATGTTATATAAGTATAGATTATGAAATAATTAAACAATTTTCAGACAATAAAACATTAATATAATCTAAATCCTCTTATAATATACAAGAGATAAATGATTTTGATTGGAAAAAATAAAAATGTATTTTATGTATAGATTCGATTGCAAATGAATTTAATGAATATAATGTGATCAGCGATGAATAAATCACTAATCATTAATCATTAATGACGTGAAACGAGCTCGCACAATTCATGTAGTATATTGTTTTCGGAATAAATTTAACACAAAAAAAGGTTTATAATAATGAATCACTCCTAATTACTCAGTATCGTGTATAAATCAATCTAATCGCATAAATTGCATACTTAGTTAATAATTTAAAATAAATCACATTTCCTTCAGACATTCGATTTAATTCATGTTAATACATTGGGAATTTTATTATTACAAACCGAAATATGTTTTCCTACTTACTTAATTCAATGTTTATTTGTTTGTTTATTACGCACAAGATTAATTAGCAGTTGATTTATCTAGAAATTCTCGGTTTTGTTTACATTCGTTATCAAGTGATGAACGGAAATTGAAGAAAATTAAACAAACCGTGCACTTTGAACTTGGAATTCCTTTTTATGGAAGATGTTATCCATATATTTTGATTTCTAGATTCTCGGAACCTTGTCTTATATTATTGGTATAGATTGATATTGTTTTCAATAAAAACAAGTAATTTAAAGCATAAAGTCGAACCGAAATGAACACTAGCATCGGCACACTACCATCAAAAAGCATACATGATATAAAGAGATTCTGAATTAATTTAATGAAAAAAAAATTTAACCAAAATTAACCATTTTCCATTGAGTCATTTTACGTTTTGGTTACAGTTACGGTTCTGTTAAAAACTCCGGTTATTTTCGGTTTACGGTTTTCGCTTCCGGTTCGATTCTCTGATTTAAAGTTTAATACCAATAAGTCAAGTTATAATTTGCATTTTTTATATGTTTCAATAATATAATTACAGCAATACCTCGCTTAGTGCGGGTAATTGGTTACGACAAAGTCTTGCACTATTTGAAAACGTCCTAATCGAGGATTTTAAAACCGAAATTATATATATCAAGAATAATTTTATGTACTAATGTTTCAGATAGTATTTTTATTTTGCTACATTTAAATTTAATTTGTTTTGAAATGTTCAATCTGTTTTATATTTAATACAAATTTTCTATTTTTTTTTATAAAAGTAAATAATATTAAATAGATAATAATAATTATAAAAATTGTAAATATAAATCATTAATTATAAGTATGAATGGTGTGCAAATAATATGACTGTTCATAATTACAAATCATATTAAGTTGAAAAAAAAACATATCGATCAAATAAGAAATTCCCAACAGTTTGTATTTTAAATATGTTGTAATTTGTATATAGCTGAAGGATCTAAGGTTGATGGCCTACCGACCTCAATTGTGTATTTAAGTTCAACCGATTGGATTTTTTTTCCAAAATAATTATTATTTAAACAGAACACCCACGGTCATAATATATATTCAGATCTAATTATTAATTAATTAATTAAATAACAATTATAATTTCATAATGTAACAAAAATTGCAGATTTCAGATTAATTCAGACATTTTATATTCATATTTATAGTTTAAATTAATTTCATATTTTTTATATTTAAATTCTAATAAATGTATCACTTTTCATTTAATAATTACCTATTTCTAATATATGATAAAATAAAAGTATTAGTTGAATTTTGACATATATTATTTCCTAATTTTCTTGATAGTTAAAATTTATTATATTGTTTCAATGATAATAAACATAGTTCTCATTGCAAAAGTAAAAAAAAATATCAATATTTAATATTATGAAAATGTTTTAGGCATTTGCACACCATTTTCTACAATATTATTCAAGGTTGGATTGGATATACATGCAATAATTCGAAGCTGGTTATGGATTTGCAAATTATGTAAGTATGTTTCTTTTTTTTTTGTATTAATTTGGTAACTTGTTTGGAGTTTTAAATTGAAAAATTATAAGAATATTTACACTGAAATGAAATACATTTTATTGTCACTTAATATCTAAAATTATAATAAAAAATTACATTCTTGCAATAAATGTTATTATTTGAATATATTTTATTTTAAAACTATTGACTTCACAAAATTAATCATTTTTTTTATTACGAACAATAGTTGTAAATAGGTTTTACAATTTGTATATATAAAAAATGAAGTTATTTTATGTAATTTTTATTATATTTTGTTTATTACAGATAACAAAATTATCAAATTTATAAAACATTATTTCAAATGATCATATATTTTATATAAAATGTGATGAAAATGTTTATTTAGACAATTTTTTGTTACTATACAAGATATTTTAATTTTAAGCACAAATTGCTGCAATCAACTGCAGTTTGTTTACTTCATTATAACGAGTTGATTACGTAATATATAGATTATTTCTTAATTTACTTGATTATTTGATGCAGATTATGTGCAAATTCCACAACATTATAATTTTATTAAAAAAATAATAA